GGGGAGGGGGGGCTGGTCACCACCACACACACACACACACCCCAAACACGCTAACGCACACACACCTGGACACTCGACACAGCGACTGCTACAGACCCGCATCTGGACAAACAGAGGCTGTTATGGGTGACTACGAGTTTCCTCGGTTCTACTCGTTCCCGCCATTCTTCACGTACGCTCCCCTTCCCCCACCCCCCCCTCCCTCTCCACCCCTGCGTCACTGTCCTCACACCTGCTCCACAGACTACAGCCGAATGAAGAGACACGGGCGAACCAGGTCTCGGCCTGGCGGAACTTTATCCTTGGCTATTGCGCGGCACACAACGTGAGCCAGCTGGAGATCCAGTCGGCGCTCGACTCGCCGCTCTGCCACAACGCCGCCATCGACCGCAAGCTCTCCGAGGACGCGCTGCGACTGTTCATCGACGATCTCGTTGCCACACGCAACGCAGAGTGGCTAACCTCTGACCACACAACGGCACTGATCATGCCGGCCACTCCTGATGAGGTAGCCGCCGCCATCTACGATTGGATCGACACCACCGGCCAGATCGGCGACGTCCTCACCGTCTACGAGTTGCACTCGGGCGACACCACCGTGGGAACTTCGTTCCACGGCCTTGATGCTGTCCTCATCAACCGCGCCCTCGACGTGCTCGCCAGCCAGGGCAAGGCCAAGGTGTTCTCGGCCTCATCGCCCGAAGACGCAGGCGTCAAGTTCTTCCCTGCATAGTAGTAGTAACAGCATTAGCAGTACCAGTCGCCAACTAACTGACCGGCCTGCAGTGCCATGCAAGCTTGTAGCTGGCTAGCCTGCAAGCAAGCAAGCGGCAGGGTGGGGGAAACAGCAAAAAAATCAGGCCCGAGCCCGGGATCGATCCGGGGACCACACCGATCCGAACGGTGTATCATACCACTAGACCACTCAGGCGATCTGCTAACCACAAATCGTGGAAGCATGGTTTCGCATGCCTCCAGCAGGCATCTAGTATATGACGGTTGAGAGTCACGAGGGTGAGCGAAGTAAAAAAAAAACAAGGCCCGAGCCCGGGATCGATCCGGGGACCACACCGATCCGAACGGTGTATCATACCACTAGACCACTCAGGCCACCTGTTGTTGGAAATGAAGGGTTTAGACATGGTATATAATGTGTGCATTGAATTCAACCTTTCTTACAGCCCTCCCATCTGCACCTCCATTCCTCAAATACTATTCTCTCTGTGTTGAACTCTCCCTGCATGTCTCTTGTAGCTATGGCTAGAACCTCCAGCAAGGCAGTGGTCATCCCGCAAAGTCCCTGCTTGCCATCGTGAATGCACATGCTGCTTCACATTCGACCTCCGCAACAAGTGCTTCATCGAGCTACGCGCCAGCCACAGAAAAGCCCCATAAACGGCGCAGGAAAGTCCACCGTGCAACTTCCATCGACGCAAGCAGTTGACTGGGCAACATTTGCAGAGCTGCCGATGCTTCGGCTACGCTCAGAGCGTGCAATGGCAGGTCTTGTTGGTGGAGGTGAGAAAACGAGTGAGCCTAAATCTGTTTACTGATCAGTGCCTCTCACTTGCAGCACACTCGTTACACACACAGCCGCGGTTGCGCGGTTGAGTTGTTTTCTTTAGAGTTCACTGTGGGTAGAAGACGGTGGAGCGAGACCAACAAGCCTGTTAACCCAGTCAGAAAAGTTTGTGTAGACTGAGGGAACAAAGAGGCCGATAAGGACAAGAATGATGAGGACGAGGCAGAGGCCGATCTGGGCTCGGAGCCTCGAGCCACCACAGCAGTCGACGATGGGACGGATGAGAGTGTAGGCCATCGACGGCTCGAGGAGGCCGACGGCAGTACACTTTGCAATGAGTTCGTCACGCTCGCCCTCGTCGTACTCGTCTAGCACAGCCTGGACTTTGTCAAGGTCCTCAGCCAGGATGGCGTCGCGCAGCGTGGCCGGCAGTGAGAGCAGGACCGTCCGCAGCTCGACAAACTGCGGATCTTTCTCCAGCTCGGCCATCTGCTGCAGTTCATCCTCAGAGAGAGCAGGCGTCTCGCCTTCGAGCGCCTCGACGTCTGCAGCAATACGGGTGTACGTCTCGAGCACATCGGCGTGGAAGGGCGAGACCGCAGCGAGCGCCTGGAGTCTATCGACGTTGGACGCGTCGTCAGCCAGGGCAGCCAGCGGCTTTGCTGCGTCGCGGGCAACCGCCTCCAGCGCCAGCGTCAGTGCTGACTGCGGCGTCGCCGGGGCGATCTCGGCCGCGTCGTCGACCATCTTCAGCCCGTACTGCACAATCATGGCCTGATGGACAATCCGCGCCGCGGCATCGTGCCGGCCAAATCGCAGCTCAATGCACGCCCGCAGTGTCAGCGCTTCCAGCACATCCACCGCCATCACTGTCGTCCATCCGTCCGCCGTACCAAGCACCTTGGCCGACGCCGGCAGCTCACCCATGCCGAGCTCGGCAAACTGCGCCAGCGTCTCGTTGTCGAACAGCGCCAGCGGACTCTCCTCTGCTGGCCTCGTCTTGCCTGTCCCAGCTGCGGTCTCACCCGCTGTCTCTGTCGTTGCCATGCTCTGGTAGTCCTCTGTCTTTGGGTCGAGTGTTGCCGTCTTCGAACCCGACCGCCCAGGAACAGCCCGACCGAGCTGAGGAGGCGGCCGGCCGCGATGGCGTGTGTTATGTCACGACTCGTCGCTGCTAGACCTGGCGAGCTCTATCGCAGCAAGGACGTCGGCTGCATCGCCGTGCCCAACAGTCTCGCGCACTGCTTGAGCTTTCTGGCCATGACCAAGTGCGCCGGCGTCGAGGAGTCGCGCGATAGCGTCCATGCGGCCATTCTCGGCTGCAAGCCGAAGCGGGAGCTGGCCGCGGGTCGACGAGTCTACCCGCGAGTCGGCGAGAAGCGCATCAAGAACATCCATGTTTCCGCGCGAGATGGCAAGGAGCAGTGCTTCATGTCCCAGATCGGTCGGATCGACGGCAGGATGTTGGAGGAGGAGCAAGACGATGCCGAGCTGCCCGCGCTCGACAGCCTCGCACAGCGCCACGTTGGAGTCGACCGACGGATTAACTCGCGGATCGTCGAGCAGAATGGCGACCGTCGCTTCTCGTCCGTGGTAGCAGCTATCACGCAACGGCGCGTTGGCCTGCACAGTCGGATCGACCCGCTCGTCCGCGAGTAGTCGCGCCACCACAGCAGCGCTGTCGCCCGCCTCGCTCCGGCAAGCGTACAGAAGCGCGAGATCGAAGAGCCAGCCGTCACCACGGCCACTCCCCCCACCAGCTCCATGTGTTGTGTTCGCCAGTATCAGCTCTACAGCGTGGAGCGCACCGATGTGCGCAGCGATGGGAAGCGCCATTCTCTGGCTCCAAGGCGGCGAAGCTGCCATGACTGCCTGGACGAGCTCACCCTCGAGGCCAAAGGCCAAGACAAGGCCGAGGATTGAGACAAGCTCCAGGTCGCCGCAACCATAGGCCCACACCATGTACCGCTCGACCTTGCAGCAGACACCAGCGCGTGCCAGATGAGCCACTAGGGCGGTCCAGGCCGGATCGTCGCTTGCTTGAGCCGCCACCACTGGGCGGATCGAGCTCGCCGGCCACAGCCTCAGGCCGTCGGCAGCGGACGCGCCTCTCATCGCGCTGGCAGCAGCCAGTCGAGCACCGTCCCACAGCTTGTGCGCCACGCAAGCATTGTAGCCGCTCAAGGCGTGCGCATGTGCGCGGCTATACCGATCGCCAAGCAGCACGCCATGGAGAGCCTTGCACGTCATCGCCATCGCCAGCACGTCCGTCGCACCCAGCACGCCCACGCCGTATGCGATGGCGTGGAGAAGCTCGGCGGGCAGCACATCCAGCATTGTGCACACACTACCCAATTCCAATCCGATGCTTCCACAAGTTGTGGCGGCGAGAGAGACGAGTGACAGCCACATACTTGCACATCGACGATTAGGTGCACGCTGATGCTGGACGTGCTGAAGCGAGAATCGGTCGTCTTATGGAAGCCGTCACTGATCAGAGCTCAATCTTTCCCAGTCCACACTGAGTCGCATTCTTCGTCTTTACTTCCTTCCTCTCAGCTCTCCCTCACTCAGTTGATCTCCCAAGTATGCGATGCCAGAGTGCTATGGCGTGCGTCATGACGTGAGCCCTGCCGCGGTGCGGAGAAAAACCTGCCGCAGGTCATCAATTTGAGTGGCTCGGCAAGGGTTGAGGCGTTGGGCCTGGGGCTGGGGGTGTTGGGGCGACGGCAACAGCAGGGGACAGGGGAGGAGGACGGGGGGGGGAGGGGAGGGGCCCATAGTCAACGCCACGGCCACTCAGCTCTCCTTTGTCTGGTAGCCATGGCAGAAGTGGAGGGCACGCCCAAGGGCAAGAGCAAGAGCAAGAAGCCCCCAGCCGTGCCCATGCAGCGCCACGGTCTCCTCGCACGGGTTGTGGCACCGATGTTGGCCGAGGCGGCGACTTGCTCGTCTTTGACTCGGGGAGAGAGCGGAGAGACGAGCGGTTCGCCAGAAACTGGTACACCTGCAGCAGCAAGTGAAACTGGTGCGCTGGCTGGAGTAGGTGGTGTGGGTGCCGACGGCTCGGGCCTTGTTCCCGAACCCTACCATCGCCAACACGTTGACGTCGGCCGGATCGTGACCAATGTGGGCGAGACAGCCGACCCGGACATGCTGCACGCCACCTTTGAAGGTCAGACCATCATTGTCCCGCGGACCTCGGTCGACATTCTCTGCGATGAGGCCGGGAACTTGGTGCCCGATGCCGAACGGAAGGAGGCAAAGCGTGCCGAGAAGGAGGCCCGCAAGGTGGCCAAGGCTCGGAGTAAGACCCTACGGGAGCAGATGAAGAAGTCAGCCGACGTGACCGAGCTGTTCTCAGTCTCGGGGCCCATCTCGGTAGCTGCCGAGGCTCGCGCTGCCGTTGCTCTTGTTCGAGTCCGCCTCGACTTTGACGATCTGGCCTCGCCTGAGGCCGCTGGCGACGACGCGTCTTGGGTCTGGATCCTGCCCGGCGACGTGCTGGCCGTCTCCGACTCGGAGCCGCAGACGCTGACGCTAGTGTACGGCGAAGCTACCGGGAGGGCGCCGGCCGCGTGCTTCACCCTTCTGCTCGGTTCTGAGGCCCAATCGCGGCTCATCGAGGTCTCGGCCCGCATGCGGGCCAAGACCGCTCTCCTTAACGACGTCCGCCGTCGCCGCGTCCCGTCGTCGGCCGGACACGACTCAGGCTCGTCATCAGCCTCGGACGATGACGCAGAGCTCCCACCTCCTGCTTCCTCTGCCGCCGATGGCGACGAAATCGTCTTTGAAGGCACTGTCGAGAAAAAGGGCGAGAAGCGCCACTCGTGGAAGACTCGGTTCTTCAGAGTTTACCGCAACCGCATCGAGTACTTTGCCAAAGCCAAGGACAAAAAGTCCAAGGGCGCTATCCCGCTTGGCGCCCACGTCTCGGTCCAGATGGTCGAGTACGAAGGTGACGCTGCCCATTTTCGCTTTGCCATCATCACCCCGGAGCGGACCTGGCTCCTCCGCGTCGACGACGAGGCAAATCGTGTTGCCTGGATCGAGGCGCTCAACTCTATCCTTAGTCAATAACACACTGCCAACTGGCAGACGCAAGCAGTAGCAATCAAATTGTAATGTAGTCGTGGGCTCCGGCACGCATGGTCCGCACCTCGCCATGGTCCAAGTCGAGGGCGTCGATGTCGACAGCGCCGTCGCTCGCCTCGTCCTCGGCTTCCAGCCGGTGATACCACATGATGCCTGCCAGGAGGACCGGAAGGGCCGAGAGCGAGAGCCACGTCGTGTAATTGACCTGCATGTCCCATCCAAACGGCGTCGACCGGAAAAATGTCCAGAAGAGCGCGCCCAGCGGAGTAACCAGCGATGAGGCCACGACGTTGTAGTTTGCCGAGGCGTAGCGGAAGAGGAAGCCGCCAAACACGTATGACGCCACGTAGCCGCCGATAAAGACAACCGCAAAGAACGGGGCCCACGAGCAGCCTGCACCGCCAAAGGTGCACTGCAGATTGACCCACATCGAGTTGGGAAAAGCCTTGGCCGTCGAGACACCAAAGCCGGGAATGAACGCCGCCCAAAACGCGAGCCCAGCAGTGAGTAGCTGGTAGAGCGAGGTCCAGAAGAGCATAAAGTACAGGTTGAGCCGCCCCATCGACGACGCTGACGCCCCGATCGTCTTCAGCACCTTTTCCTCGTAGATGTTCATCAACGCCGCAGGCAGGAAGCCCACCATAAACACCATCGGCCACACGTACCGGGCCGACGACGACGACGAGTACCGCTCCGCCACGTCGTCCAGATTGAAGATCGTCGGCGTCAGTGCAATGAGCAGGCCCAGAACACACAACGCCGCGCATGCCACGTGCTTCCACGTCGTCTTGCGGTGGAGGAGCAGGTACGAGCCAGCAAAGGTGAATGGGATGATGGCGTTGCCGAGGAGCGCCTGCAGAAACGGCGCCGTCCGCTGCGGCGGCGATGCAAAGACCACAAGGATGCCGTTGAGCGCATCGCACGCTCCAATGAGAGCGAGGAACTTGTGCGGGAACCGCGCCTCGACCTCTCCGAGCGCGTTGGTAAAGAGCTTGAGATACGCCACAACAAGGCCAAAGATGACCACGTACGCTGCCGAGGCAAAGGTGAGGACAAAGTACGGATTGGCGCCAGCCGACGAATCGTCCAGTGCCACCAGCCACAGCGGAAGCGCCACATTCTGCGTCACACCTCCAAGTACAGCTCCGATGACACAGATTACCGCCAGCACCGTCGGCGAGATGGTGCCCAGCCGGGTCTCCAGCGATGGAAACTTTGGCGCACTCGGCTCGACAGGCACCGCCACAGCAGTGGCATTCACAGACTTGTTCCCGAGGCGGCCTCTACCTCTCGAGGCCAGCAATCCCTGACCCTCGTTAAGCACGCTCTTTGTCATCTTTGTCGAGGTCCACCGTTTTTGTTGGCTGAGTCACAGAGAGGCTTTATGGCCGGTGTCTGGGGGTGGTGTGTGGCTTGTGGGATGGGTGTGGCGTACGTGCCTTTTTTGACATACCTTTTATTGCCACTGCATCTCCACTCACCCAGTCTGGGCATGGCAAACGCTCGTAGGTACAATATAAAGAGATGTGTAGAGTGAGAGAGGCATGATCTGGTAGCACATATTGTGGATCAGAACATCGGTGACATTGATTGCACATCGGTCTTTGATATCCGCCCGTAGGCCCAAGAGTGGTTGTGTTGCGGTCGCGTGGGTCACGCGGTTTGAGCAGAGTTTTCTCCCACGAACCGTCGAATAGAAGGCACTCACTGCCCAACACGGTCGGCTGCGATGTACGAACGTGTGGACCACGTGTCCTCATCGTGAACAAAGTCATCACTCGTTGTTTCGATTGTAGAGACCGGATGGCTGCAGCATGGGCGTAAGCGCTTGTCGTGGCATTGGCTCCGCGCAGGCTCGTCCGCTCCAGTCCCCTCCCTGCCGAGTCCCACCACATCCATATCATGACAATGTCACTCCAGAGCATGATCGGGACGACTTTCAACTCCCTCCCCCCCTCCTTCCCCCCTCCCCCCCTCCCTCCCCCCCCCCCCCCCCCCCCACCGCCTTCCCATCATGCCCGGATCAGCCTCCCGATCAAGAGCCCCAACCGCTGAGGCTGGCCGCCGCCGACGTCCACTTCCCACCCCTTTCGCCACCTGCCAATGTCCCCCCCCTCCCCCCTCCCCTCCCCTTCCTCACCACCCACCTCACCCCCACACAGTCCTTCATGTCTGCACGTGTCCGCTGGGTCCCTGACGAGGAGCGCACTCATTGTGCTGACTGCGGGAAGAAGTTCTCCCTCCTTGTCCGCCGGGTACGCCCTCCCCCCCCCCCCCTCCCTCCCCCCCTCCCTCCCGTCCCCCCGCCTCCTCTCACCCTCCCTCCCTCCTCCTCACAGCACCACTGCCGACGGTGCGGAGACATCTTCTGCAAACAATGCGCCAATGTGTTCCGCAAGATCCCTGAACTCGAGGTGACAGAGATGGTTCGGGTGTGCAACCGTGGCTGCGACATTGCCTACGATGACGGCGTGTACTCGTCGGTCGGATCTGCCGTGCCTGCTCGGACTGCATCGCCGGTATCCTCGGTGGGCAAGTCGAAGAAAAAGAGCAAGAGCAAGGCTGTTACATCATCGTCCGATCTCGACTTTGGTGGCCTTTAGCTCGTCTGGCGTTGCCCGGCTCGCGCGCTCGAGTGCACCTGCTTGCCTCGCCGCACACGTCGCTGCTTAAAACAACATGACCTCGACGCCTGTGGTCGTTCTTTTACGAGTCGGCGCCGCAGACACCGCAGACGCCACCGTTGACATCGACGACAGCGCATCCACCGCAGACGCCGCATCGCCAGGCGATGGCGGCGGCGTCGACGACCGTAGCGCCGGTGGCGATGCAGACCTCAAACGAGCGGTCGCACGAGTTGCAGGACGAGGCCCACGGCGCTGTGCTCGCCCCGCACCCTCCACAGCTTGTCGGCTTGGCCCGCCGGTCGCGCGGCGCGTTACGCTTGAAGACCTCCACCGCCAGCCGCTCGTATGCCTCGTCATTGGCGCCGAGGCTCTCGAGCTTGATAAACGCCAGCGAAGCTTGCTTGAAGAACCGGTTGAGGTACGCGGTGAGGGCAGCAAGCGAGGCCACTGCCCGAGAGTCGAGGAAAGCCTCAAAGTCGTCGGCAACCCGCAGTGCGGTCCGCATTGCCGCGTCGACGTCGCCGGCGTGCAGCTGCCGCTGCGCCAAGAGGTAGAGATGCAGCGCCTGTGCACCGCGCCACGCGGTGGCCAGCCCGTCGACGCCCGCGCCGTCGGCGCTGCTCTTGCCTGGCGAGCTCATGAGGCCAGCAAGCTTGGCGTCCGGCGACCACGACGACCGTCCACTGCTGCCGCTCCCTGCTTCGCCTCCACCAGCCCGCCTTGCCATCTTGGCTTTGGCCTGTCCACACAGCCCGGCGAGAACATACAGCTGCTTGCCGCGCACAAGCTTGCCGGCGGCGACAGCCTCACGCGCAAGCTCGACAAGGAGCTGACCGGCCTCGCTGTACTTGTGGGCCTGATAGTAGAGCTCAATGGCCTTGAGCCGACCGCCGGGCAAGGCCAGGAGCTTGTCGGCGTACTCGGCGAGGAGGGCGTGGATGCCTGGAAAGGCGTGCCGTTCCGCGAGCCGCAGCGCTGTGTCCCACCGTTGGAGGCTGACACACGCGTCGACGGCGGCCTTGACGTCGCCGGCCTTGACGTACGCCGCCACGGCCTCGTCGGCCATGCCCACGCTCACCAGCTTGGCGCCGAGCTTGGGCAGCAGCGCGTCGCTAGAGCCGAGCTCTGAGACGAGCGAAGCGAGCCGGTCAAAGTCGCCAACCCGGTAGGCGGCGTCGGCGAGCGGACCAGTAGCGTGGGCCAGCTCATAATAGTGGATGGCCTTGGCGTCCTGCCCGCGCTCGGCGTAGTAGTCGCCGAGCTCAGTGTGTGCCCGCGCCCGGAGTTTGTCGTCACCCTGTCCGGTCTCGTGGATGAGCTTGACCACCCGGAACCAGTCGCCGACCTTGACTCGCAGACCGATGGCCAGGTCTGACCGGTTCATCTCCATGTACAGCTTCTCGGCCTGGTCAAACCGGCCAAAGTACGCTGCAACTTCGGCAGCCTGCTTGAGCGGGTCCTTGACCTCGCGCAACGACTTGAGGAAGACCAAGCCCTCGTAGTTACCGTACTTGATGAACGCAGCCCGGGCGAGGCCAAGATCCAGCGCCTCCAGCGCGGCCTCGGCCAGGATCCGCCACAGCCGCGGGTGCGGGTTGTCCGCCACAAAGCCCATCGCCTCCTTGAGGTTGACCGACTCAACAATGGCCCGGGTATCTCGCAGCGAGCGCGTCTCATACTCAACCAGCAACGCCTTGGACGGCACCTGCGGATCAATGAGCAGCGCGTCGAGGTCGACGGCCTGGACCACTAGGTCCGAAAACTCGCAAAGGTACGAGGTGCATGGCACGGCCTCTTCCGGCGCCGGGCCGCGGTACACATACAGCTTGTCCTTCTCCACCGCGGCAAGCAGCGACGGCTCGTCGCCCCACTTGATGGCCCACACGTTGTTCTTGCGCTCAAAGTCCGGCAGCGGCATGCCCAGCGGCGCGCTTGCAGACTCGCGCATTTCCAGTGCGTACAGCGAGAGTGCAGATGCAAAGTCGATGATCGCCACCACGCTTCCGTCACAGTTGATCTCGAGCACCTTGGCCCGCACTCCAATGTTGTACTGCGTCTCCAGCCGGAGCCGCGGCAGGCTGTACCGCAGCAGCGTTCCCGACGCCCGTGCCACCAGCAGCATGCTGCCTGACGCTGCCACTGCCGTGATCACGTCGCCAGTCTCCTCCGAGTCGGCAAGCTCCATAAACTCAGAGGCAGTCGACGCCGGATCCGAGTCGATGTGGAAGAGCGCAACCGGTGGTCCATCGCCGCCGCTACGTCCGCCGAGCATCTTGTGCGACTTGGCCTGCGGCGTCTCGCTCTCCAGCGCTGCAATGTAGTCCCACACAAAGACAGCGCGCGGCGAGGCAACAACCACATGCCGCGGTGTCATGGCCAAGTGTGTCGGCTCGAGCGCAAGATACTTGGAGACGAGTGGGTTGCCAATGGCGTCAAACACAATGGCCACGTCCTCCGATTGCGCGCCGCCCGTCGAGGTCAGCAGCGCGGCGTGCTGGCCGGCAGCGCAGATGCCGGCCACCCGCTTGATGTACTTGACCGCTACCTCGGTCGTCTTGGTGTTCCAAAACGTGATGCAGTGCTCGTCGTTCGAGATGAGATACGAGTACACGAGTGTGTTGGCAAAGTACGTCCACTTGCGCGGCGGACGGACTGTGGCAAAGAAGATGGAAGACCCAACCGTGAGCGCAATCCGCAGCCCGTTGCCCGACCACGAGAGACCGGTCACCAGCGAGCCGCCGGGCACCTTGAGTGTGAACACGTTGGCGCCGTTCGGCTCGTAGAACTGGACCACTGAGACAACTCGCTCACGGAGCGTCAGCTGGCCCGCCACCGCCAGCAAGCTCCCGAGCTTGTCCCACGACAAGGTAGAGATTTGCAACTTGGTGTCAAGCACAAGCGGAGCGTCATCAATCTCAGACCGCATCAGCTGGACGCATCCGTTGTCAAAGGCGACCGCCAGGGACGGCAGTCCGGCCTCGACGCCACGGATGGCGTCGTTGAACCACGCAAGGTCGACAACGCCCGGAAGCTGGTCGGCAGGCGTTGTCGGCGGCAGAGGGAGCTGACATGGGCCGTCAACCGCCACGAACAGTTGCATCCGGGTCAAATACGCGCCACTCGCGGCGTCGTGCAGATGAACCTGCCCGTCGGCGGTTGCCAGCAGCAGCAGCCGTCCATTGGGCGACCACGCCACGCGGGTCAACGGCTTGTCAAAATTGATGCACCACACCCGCTCCTTTGACAAGTGGCCCAAAATGACCATGCCGTCCGTGTAGGCAATGGCGATGAGCAGGCCTGACGGTGACCAGGCAAAGTCGGCCACGTTTCCGCCGTCGGCCCGCTCGTTGACCATCTGTTCGAACCATGCGCCATCATGCAGCGCCCACACAATAATGACACCATCAGCCGCAGTCGTCAGCCGCTGTGCCGGCTCGTTCCACCGGCACCGCGACAGTGTCGCCGAGTGGCCCGTCAGCGCCTGGTTCATGCTGAATGACGACGCCGTGCCCGGACCTGCCTGCTCCAGCTGTAGCACCCGGCAGGCCCCGCCCTCGCCGCCCACAGCCACATATCCGTGCGCTCCGCTCCATGCCACCGTCGTCAGCGGCGTAGCATTCGGCATCCCAATCTGTGTCGACATGGTGTGAGTGTGGCGGGCAAGGCGGGAAACAGGAGAAGGGGGGGGAGGGGCAAGTGGGGGGGGGGTAGGGGGCGTGGGATGGAGGACGTACTTTCTTGGAGAGGTAGACGTGCATGATGGTGGAGAGTGGGGGAAGGTATGTGGGTGGTGGTGGGTGGGTTGAGAGTGCGGTGGGAAGCCCTGGAGGCGTGCGTGAGAGGGGGAGGAGGGGAGCGGGTGGGGCGAGGCGGGGGGGGGGGAGGGGGACCGAATGGCGCCGCGCGCGTGTCGGCAGACCGGAACTTGCGGCTGGGCAATGTAGGCGGGTGAAGGGCGTAGTCATGGCTATGAATGTAGTGAGAAGGAGAAAGGAGTAGAGAACATGATTGCTTTGGTCATCTGCTGGTTACTTGGCAGATACTTGCTGGTTACCGGGCGATGGCGGTGGTTCGGGATCTAGCTGATGTCTGAGCCTGCATGAACTTGAGCGCTTTGGGATCGGCGTACATGGAAGAGACATCAAAGTCGACCACATACAGGCCTTCCAGCGATCGTGCGCGAGAGAGGGCGACGTAGGCCTGGCCAGCTTCAAAGACTGAGCCAAGCGAGACAACAAGCGAGTCGAGCGACATGCCCTGCGACTTGTGGATGGAGACGGCAAAGGCCAGCTTGAGCGGCAGTTGTGTCCGTTTGGCTGGCCGGCGTCCAACAAGCCCCATCCGCCACACGTACGGCTTGATGAGCATTGTCCGCCCACTCGCCATTCGCACCCACGGTAGCTGGGTGGCGTCATCAAAGGCGACAACAACGCCGCGCGAGCCGTTGGCGAGCCCGCCCACAACGTCCAGATTGCACACCAGCATGACCTGGGCGCCGATCTTGAGCGAGACCCGCTTGCTCGCCGGGCACGAGCTGTCAAGCGCCGCCACGCCGCCAGTCGGTCCATCATCAAACGCCTTGTACGTCACCGTTGTACCCGGCAGCTGCGCCAGCTGCTCGGCGTTGGTTGCGTCGACCGCTGCTCGATGTGGGAGCAAACGGGTGGGAAGAACGCCATCGTTGGCAACTACCTTGGCCTGCGATCGAGCCTCAAGGACACGCACAAGACCAGGCTCAACAACGCCACGCCGGAGTGCGCCGAGCAGCCGGGCAAACTCGACGTCGCGCTGGCGGTAGACGTGGGTGAGCTCGAAAATGGCAAACTTGGCCGCCTTCCACGCCTCAGCCTCAAAGGCAAACTGTGGCGCGGTCGAGACAACGCCATACCGATGTTTGACCACCGGCGGGAGCTGCAGAAAGTCGCCGCAGACCACGAGCTGAAGGCCGCCAAACGGGGCATCGGGTCGCGAGCGCAGCGCCCGGCCAACGCCGTCAAGCACGTCCAGCATCTGCGGCCGAAGCATGGAGATTTCGTCGATGATGAGCGTGTCTGTAGTCTGCCAGCGAGTCACCACACTTGGGCGCTCGCGGATTGACGCCAGCAACGACGCCAGTGGCGCCTCGCCACGCCCAATGCCCGCAAACGCATTGAGGGTTGTGCCGCCGAGCTGGCACGCGGCAATTCCAGTCGATGCCGTGACCTGAACCCGCTTTGTCGCGCCCAGCTGCGCCAGAATATGCGCAATGAGCGTCGACTTGCCTGTTCCGGCCGAGCCAGTGAAGAAGACATTGCGTCCGTCGGCGATAGCGGCGAGGACCTCGGCTTGGCGAGGATCGACCTGCGACAGCGCTGGGTTTTGGCCATCAGCAGGCCCAGCAGCCACCGCACGGCCATCGAGGCCACACCGTCGCTTGGATGCGCGCATCAGGCTCGGCAACGCACCTGTTGCGAGGTGGCGGGCATGGCCGCCGAGATCGATGACGACAGCGTCTGCGGGCGGCGGCGCCGACGAAAAATTTGAATATTTTGCGCCTCGCGCCGCTCCCTCCGGCAAGCCCGCGACGCCGGCAGGCAGTGCCGAGAGTGTACGCTTGCGCTTCCGCGGCGGTGACCGGCCTGCACTTGCGGCTTCGGCCTCACTCTCGCTGCACTGCGCCTCAAGCTGCACTCTGTCGGTGATGGCGAGCTTGGCCGCCCTCGCCGGGTGGAGGGTCGAGCCGAGGAGCATGAGCCAGGCCTCGAGCGCTGCGGGCGTAGCCGCCGAGAGGAGGACCCGGACCCGAGCGGATGCGGTCGAGATGGTGAGCGTGGCACGGCCCTGGCTTGTGTACTTGGTCTGGACCTGCATCTCGCGTGCTCGGATGCAGTCTAGGCTCAGCGCAGGCGCAGCTGATCGCGGCGCACGGACGTGGGCGACAGCCATGACGATGGTCCCCTGCGCATGGCCGGCATCAAACGAGACATACGCGTTCTTGATTGTCTTGGACCGCAACACGGTGTGATCTTTCTTGTTACGGACGTTGAGAAACTCGATCCGCACTGTAGCCGCTACAATCGGCATCGTTGGCCAGCGACGAGTATGCGGTCTTGGTCTTGGCTCACCAGGGCTTGCTTGGCAGCCAGCCATATTCCTCCGCCTGCCAGCCTCACCTGCCATCCACATCGAATCGAGCTCCAATCCTCTCTGTATCGACCACATAGACTGCACCAGCCATCGATGGGTAGTCGTTAATTGTTCGGCAGAGATCGCCAAGCAGTGTGTGTGTGTGCCTGTGGCTGATGGGAGCGGAGAGAGAGTGTGTGTGTGGGGAGAGGGTGTGTGAGGTGATGCATGCAAGACGTGATCGATCGCCTTTGATGGCTGCCAACCAACAGCAGACAGGCCACGCGGTGGGGGCCTCACCCGCTCCCGCTGTCTCTGCTATGAGTTGCCACACCTAGCTGCACTCTTTCAGCGAGGAGGAGGAGGAGGAGGGTATGAGCTCGTACTCGGCAGGTGTAGCAGTGCCAAGTCTCCGGCAGGCCCGCGGGTCGACCCGGTACTACACCATGCTGACGACGGCGGCTGGAACGTCGGGCGAGGACGAGTCATCGTCGGGGCAAGGCGATGGCGGCACAGGCATCGAGCCGTGGCTTCTCGAGTCTGAAAAGCCGGAAGGACGCGAGCTGGTGGCACTGCGGGCAAAGGTGCAGGAGCTCGAAGCCAAGCTGCGCAAGAGCCGACGGCGGCAGTCGTCGGCACGCGATGCGGTCCGTGAGGCGTCGGACGCTGTGGAGATGGCAGCGCAGTCGGCGCGGCGGAGCGCGGTAGCGACGGCACGAGCGCTGGAGGCGTGTGTCTTTGCGCTTGCGCACGACTACGTTTTTATCTCACGCATCCACTCGGGCATCCGGGCTGCCGTCTATCTCGCCACCGCGCGGGCGACCGAGGGGCCAGCGCCGAGCGGCAAGACGGCGCTCAAGATTGTGACAGGCTACGGGGCAGTCTCGGTTGATCGCCCACCACGCGAAGTCTCCATGCTTCTCCGCCTCCGGGCACACCCGTGCATTGTCTCGATCGATGCATGGTATCCGCTGTTGGACCAGAACGCGTTTGCCATTGCCATGCCGCACATTGTGCACGAGGACTTTGATCCGGCGAGTGAGCCGCGCAAGCTTGTCAAGTACATGTGGGACACGCTACAGGCGTTGGCGTTCTGCCACGCCGCGTCGGTGGTGGTCCGCGATGTTAAGCCGTCGAACATCCTGTTCGACATGGCGCGCCAGCGGGCAGTTCTCATTGACTTTGACTGTGCCACCCATTACGACCCGTCGGCGCCGCCGCGCGATCTGGTCGGAACCCGCGGCTTTCTCGCGCCCGAGATCATCGACGACCGGCTGCGCCTCGACGGCTATGGCTACCCTGTCGACATGTACTCGGCCGGGCTCACCTTTTTCGCCCTCGTCTTTCGCGTCCCGCCGCGCCGCTACTCGGCCATGACGCACCCCGATGTGTTCGACACACTGGAGGCGGCGGCGTCGACTGCCAAGTCGCGCTCGTCGCGCGCCCAGCTCCTTGAGCTCATCTCCGGCCTCGTTGCTGCCAGCCCTGCCCACCGCTGGACCGCCGATGCTGCCATCGCCCACAGGTACTTTGACGAGCTGCGCAAGCGCAAGACCGGCACGCCTGCAGCACTTCGCTCGCCGGCGCCGCGCTCGCCAGCCTCTCGATTATCGTCCGGCCGCAAGGGTACGAGGATCCGCAAGCGCCGCCGTCGCCGCCGGTCGTCGGTCTCGGCCCGTCGACGGTCCAGCACAGCCCTCGGCATCACCTCGTCATCGTCCCTTCCTTACTCGCCCTCGCTCTCCACAGACAGCTCACCGCAGTCCGACAGCTGTTCTGATTCAGCATCGGTATGCTCGAGCAGCATAAGTACCACCGCAAACACACAAAGCTCATAACTGGGCTAACTCTTGCGTAGGCGACTCAAGTCCGGCAAGTCGCTTGCCACTTTGCCCAAATCGGCAATGTGGCGAAGTTCCACGGTTGCTGTCGTCACCGAGCAACCTCCTCCGCCACTCAACTCTGTTGCTCTTCCCTTCCTTCGTCACCACCACCGTCTCGCCTACTACCAGACCTGTGACTTGCACTCTCCCCTCATCCCTCCCCACCATGTCGTCGTCTAACAACGACGCCTCAACTCCGCAAGCTTGCATCGACGGATGCGGCTTCTTTGCGTACGTACCCCCCCCCACCCCCCCTACCCCGCCCATGAGCACGACCCAACTCGCCGTTGTTCGTCACACTTTCTTCCGTTTCGAACATTGATTGATTCGTTTGCTCATTCGTTCTTCATTCGTTCGTTTGGGCGTGCGGTTGTTCGCCGGTCGCAAATTGGTCACCGTCACTCACCCCAGTCACATGCGCGGATGGTTGGGCATGCAGATCGGCTGCGACCGACCGATGCTCGGCTTGCCACCGCAAACACATGAGCGAAAGCATGCAAGACCTGGCCAGTGGAGGCCAGGATGCCCCATCGTCGCCTGCGGCTTGGGCAGCGGCGGCGGCTGACGCAGCCTTTGCCGCGTCGAACGTTCTGCCGGCAGAAGGCGGTGATGACGTCGCGTCGATGCCGGCGCCCATGGATGTGGCGCCTGCCGAGACCGAGGCTGTGAAGGCCCCGGCTATGGCAGCCGCAGCAGCAGACGAGACACCCAAGAAGAAGAAGAAGAAGAAGGCCCGCTGTGCACACGCCGAGTGCCGGACCAAGATCGGGACGCGCGGCTTTGAGTGCGCGTGTGGCGCCTCGTTCTGTGGCTCGCACCGCTATGCTTGGGCCCACGACTGCACCCACGACTTTGCCGCCGAGGCCCGTGACAGGCTCCGCGCGGCGAACCCAGTAGTCTCGCCGGAAAAGGTGGCTCGGATCTGAGCCGCCCAGCTCTCACGTCCCCTCTGCTCGCTGCGATCTCGCTGCACTTCCTTTAACACACACGCACATCCACCGCTTGGCTCACACTCTGCACACGTACGAGTTCGAGTGTGAGATGTAGCGGACCCAGCGGGCGGGCTTGTAGTTGGGGTTGGCGTCGATGATGCGCAGCGAGCGGATGGCGAGGCCCGAGAGCGAGTGCATGGGGATCTCAAAAGCGAGCGAGGCCGGGCCGACGCTCTGCGACCAGACGGCGTACTCCTCGGGGCCGTCGAGATGGACGCGGACCCGGGCATGGTGCTCGGCACCACCGCGGAAATTTTCGATGAGCCAAGTCATGGTCTTGCTCTCCTTGGCATACGCGTACGACTGGCCGCCGACGCCGGCAGGCAGATCAAGGGTGGCGTTGTAAGTAGAGCCTGGCAGCGGGAGCGAGACGCGGACACCCTTGCCAAAGGTGGTGTTGGGAAAGTCGGCCCGGATGCGGAGGACGACGTCAAATGCCGAGGCCGAAACCTCCTCCAGAAAGACAAAGACTCGGAACGGGGTGCGGAACTCGGACTTGAGGCGGTACGACATGAGCGTCGACTCGCCTGACTCGAGCGGAAAGGCGACGAGGCGGCGGGCGTCAAAGTCGTCGAGATTGACGCCCTCGTGGAAGGAGATGTCGTCGACAACGATGCCGTAGCCGTCGCCGGCGCCACCGACGCTTAGATCCTCGTTGAGCGCGAGGACCAGATGTGGGTTGCCGTTGACAAAGGCCTTGACCTGGATGGAGCCGTCGATCTGAGACCGCACAATGGAGCCGTCCTTGCCAAACACCACAATGAGTCGCTCGAGCAGGTCAACAAAGACCTCGTCGCCGCCGGTCCGCCGGTGCTCGAGGGTGATCGGCTTTTGCGCCGCTGCCGACGATGCCGTCCGCGCCACTCCCGCGGTGCTGGTCGGCTCAGCCACCCCGTGCTTGATCGCGGCCGCAGCCGCCCGGTCACGAAACTTGGCGAGTGCAGCTTTGATCCCGCCCTTGCCCTTGCCGCTCGTGCTCGCACTCGTGCCACCGCTGCTGCCCTCGCCAGCGCCAAATGCTGCCTCGGGCACGTTGACGATGTGCGCGCGCAGATGGTCTGACGACGTCGACTGGACCCAGCCGTAGTCCAAAATCTCATCGAGGATCTCGTAAACAAGCACAAAGTTCTTCCGCAGCTTGTCTTCCGAGAGCTCACCGGTGTAGTCCTTGAACACGGCGGCAAACCGATCGAGCAGCTCGACAGCGAAGACTGGCGAGACGTTGAACTTGGTGGTGAAGACCAGATACAGACCTTTGCGCGCCACATGGATAAAGTTGAGTCCATTGATATGAAACGCCGGTGGAAGGGCTGCAAGTCCCACTCCCGACGACGGCCCAGCGCCTCCACCTCTGCTCGCCCTGCTTGCCTGCACCTTCCGCCAGAAGATGTCCGGCGTGCCCTTGACGACATCTCCTCGGTCTGTACCCCCCTCCCTCGACATGCACATGAGTGGGCGGCGCATCATACGTACGTCGTCTATCCCTTCCCCAATCCCCTTCCCTTGTCGTGTGGCGTGGCGACTATGCCTTTGCCCACGCCCCCT